CAGAATTCCCCAGCCAGCGAATGCTGGCTGGGGAATTCTGGGAGTTGAAGTCCGGACATCTTCAAGTGGCCAAGGTTGAGAAACACTGTTCTAATGTCTTTGCTGGAAAAGGCCTCACTAATTCAGGGAGTTATCCAGTCTGGTGTCTGGCCTTGAAAAATGGCTCACACTGAACTCTATAGCAGTCAAACATCAGGAGTGGCGTTTTGCATGACACGGTTTGCTAAATTTCAATTCCATACAAGCTACAGATCGTGGGGAGTAACAATAGACTTCAACCTGTTACCCATCAGCCCCAGCCAGTATTAAGGGCGTTTGTACCTATAGAAAGACCTATAGAAGACAGCTTGGGTCGTCCCAGGCTTGTTCAAACCCTCCCCAGAAAAGGTCTTGCCTCATTTAGGCTTCACGACTTCCTCCCCAGAAAACTCCCCAGCTTCTCCTACTTTCTATTGCATCTGCTGGTGCTTCAAATCCTTTCCTTAATTACTTTCCAATGGGTGGAAACGAATCAAGGAGAGAACCAACCTAGACCTGAGGAGAAATTTCCTAACACAAAACCAAGAACCAGCGGCATGGCTGGCCCCCCAAAAGTCCAAGAGTTTGCACAGCCTTTTGTCCAGAACGGTGCAGGGTCTCCTAGAAGCCCTCCAGGGTCCCTTCCAATTCTGTTGATGGCGTTCTCAGCCCTTCCACTCCTATTTCCCAAGACCCTCACCACTTCCCTTGCACAGAGAGCGAAGGAGGGGCACAAGACCCCACGGCTGCTTCTCCCCCAAGAGGCCCTTCTGCACCTGTTCCCAATGTGGAGGAATGTGCCTGCCATTAACGAAAGGACAGCGTTCAAATCACACTGGCTTGTTTATTGATACAAAGGAAGTACAAATAGTCTTTTAAAACTTCTGGAACTGCTTTTTGGTGCCAGCAGCCTTGGTCACCTTGAGGACGTTGAACCGGACAGTCTTGCTGAGGGGGCGACACTCTCCCACCGTCACAATATCCCCAATCTGCACATCCCTAGGAGGGGGAGCAGAAGAAGAAGAAAGAGTTTTATAGACTCGCCAACAGGATATATGGAGGTGTGCTTATAAGCAGCTCAGGCTGCCCAATCTGAAAGCAGCTGCCTGCAAGTCAAATGCAGCTCATGGTGCGGAAGAGGCTGAGCTAGAAGGTGGGGATAAAGGTGTCATCGGTTTAGACTCATTGCATTGTCACAAAAGAACTAAGACCCACCACTCATCCCCAACGCAGGGTGAGAGGCAAGGCCAACCCCTTTGTGCATTATATGCTAGGCTTGCCAAGATGCCAGACCTTTGGGGGCTGTGAGAAGCCGAAGCAGAGCAAGCTCTTTGGTTCAGTGAGTGCCAGACTGGCGTTTTCAGCAATGCCCCGTTCACTCTAGGGCTCTGCAGACCATCGTGAGATTATACATCATCACCAAAGGGCTTGCTGTAGGCCAGAGGTGTCCACCCTGGGCAACTTTTAAGACACGTGAACTTCAACTCCCAGAATTCCCCACCAACCATAGCTGGCTAGGGAATTCTGGGAGCAGAAGTCCACAAGCCTTAAAGCTGCAAAATGGGATGTCAGAAAAATGCAGGCTGCCATTGCCAACTTCCACGGCGGGGGGGGGGGGGGTGTCACGCTGCCTGGGTTCCAAATTTTGCAACGTATCTCAAAGCGTAACAATTTCTGTCTTTCTGCATACGGGACCAAAGGGGTTGTGCTAATTATGCCACCCGACCTGGGAGAGGCTACCCTGGGCCCTGGTTCAACGCAAAGCTGCCTTTGCAAGGACCCCCACAAGGCAATCAGGTCACCAGCCCCTGTTGCAAGCCCCCTGGGAGCCTCTCCCGGCCCTTCCTTACCTGAAGCAGGGAGACAGGTGCACTGACATGTTCTTGTGTCGCTTCTCAAAGCGGTTGTATTTGCGGATGTAATGCAGGTAGTCTCTGCGGATGACGATGGTGCGCTGCATCTTCATCTTGGTGACCACCCCTGGGGGGTGGGGGGAGGAGAGAGGAAAGTCCAGTGAAGGTCACCAGCCCCACAGAGGCCCATCCGGGGCTTCAGGGTGGGACAGGAAGGCCCCCCCCCCCCCCGAGGCTAGACAGGGCATCAGTCGTGCCAAAGGGCAGCGTCGACAGCACCCACTCAGGGGCTCCGCAGACCATCGTGAGAAAAGCATCCCTTGCCACAGCTACCTCCGGGGGGGGGGAGGGGGCGGCGGCTAAGCAGAGTCTGGTAACCCTCCAGGGTGTCCCAAAGGGCTTTTTCCAAAAGGTAAATGGACTTTGTTTTCCCCTTAGAAAACGTTTGACTTTTCATCAAAGAAGCTTCTTTAGTTCTGGCTGAATGGTGGGGAAGGGAATGGAATGGAAGTTAGCTGTGATAAATCGTTGAGGCTGCTTGGGGGGGTCAGAATCTCTCTCTGATTCAGGGGACCCTGAGGACCCAGATAAACTGGCACACAGCTCCAATGGTCACAGCTTGCGACCTTCACTGCCAGCTTCCCATAAGTCAAGTCAATGAGGAAGCCAGCCACCCTTAGATGTTGTGCTTAATGATTCCTTAACGATCGCATTTAATTTTGTAGTACAAGATGTAATGATAACAAACTAAACTATAAATCCTTCCACTTTTTTGGGGGGGAGGGGAAGCATTTTTGGGACAACCAGGACCTGGATGGTGAAGAGTCTCCACAAGGCCTCCAACCCTCCCAGGAGGAAGAGGAAAGAGGGGGCAGAATACAAAGGGGAGTGTTCGCAGGGCCGCGCGTGGTGCCACTCCCTCCCCTGCCTACCGGAGAGGATGCGGCCCCGGATGGAGACATTGCCAGTGAAGGGGCACTTCTTGTCGATGTAGGAGCCCTCGATGGCCTGGCAGAGAATGATGGAAATGATATTTATTCTTTTATAAAATGTTAAAAGGTTACTTTTGCTCTTTTGTAAAAGCTGAGGTAGCACAGTGGTTAGAGTGCAGCACTGCAGGCTACTTCAGCTGACTGCTAGTTGCAGTTCGGCGGTTCAAATCTCACCGGCTCAAGGTTGACTCAGCCTTCCATCCTTCCGAGGTGGGTGAAATGAGGACCCGGATTGTTGTTGGGGGTGATATGCCGACTCTGTAAACCGCTTAGAGAGGGCTGAAAGCCCTATGAAGCGGTATATAACTCTAACTGCTATTGCTATTGCTATTGCTAACTATCTATCATCTATCTATCTAATCATATCTATCTATCATCTATCATCTATCTATCTATCTATCATCTATCTATCATCTATCTATCTATCTATCTATCTATCTATCTATCTATCT